TGAATGTGAAGTGCTTGGAACACTCAACAGTATTATATACAAATGCAAATACTTCTAAATAGTATTTATAATCCCTCAGAGATGCTCAGCTGGCATAGCTGGGAAGCAATTCTCTTTTGCCTGAAACCCCAGAGTCAATGCCAATTAGACAATAATAGGCTAGTACAGAGGGGGCAGTCTCTGGCCTCCCATTGGCCATGGTGGCTGGGCTGATGGGACTTGGAGTCCCTGGACACCATGGCTAATATAAGACCATTCATGCTAAGTTATGCTGGCGAAGCTTTTTCCATTGCTTTATCTCCAAGCTGGAAAACATTTCACTTGTTACCACCATGCCTTTGAACAATCTATGGTGTGAGCAATGGAGTACTGTGTATACTTCTGGTTGCTGCATCTAAATAGGGCAAGATAAGTGATCAAGGGAATGGAGAATCTCCCCTATGAGGAAAGGTTGCAGCAAGTAAAAACGTAGGCAAGAGATGACATGAGAGAAATTTGTAAAAATATGCATGGCACGGTGAAAGTGGATGGAGAATTTTTCTCCCTCTGTCATAACACTGCAACTTGTGGATATCCAATAACACTGAAGGTTGGAAGATTCAGGATATATGAAGGAAAGCTCTTCTTTACTCAGTGCAAAGTTATACTGTGGAACTTATTCCCACAAGAGACCGTGATGGTCACCAACTTGGATGGTTTTAAAAAAGGATTGGACAAATTGATGGTGGAGAAGGCTATCAGTGGCTGCTACCCACAATGGCTATGCACTGCCTCAACATTCAAGGTGGTAGTGATTCTGAATACCATTTGCTGGATGACCAAGTGATGGGAGAGTGCACTTGTGTTTGAGTCCTACTTGTGGCTTTCCCACAGACATCTGGATGGCCACTATTTTGCAATGCTCCCACAGAGATGAACTGCACATTGGCACTCTCCCCCTTGGCTCTCTTCTCCTTGGCCAGCTTTCCTGCATTCCTGCAGAGACATCTGGACCTCCTTGAGCTCTTTTCAGACATGATGTTTGGAAAGCATGACCCTGCAAATACCAGCCAGAGGAGAGGGGTTCTTGGTGCTAAACTTTGCATTGTTCCAGGAACCAACCACCCCATCTGTGTCAAGCTTGGCTCAGCCTCCTTGCCTTCCACGCTCCTCAGCTGGCATGGTGCCGCCTGCACATATGGGCACACACAGGAGTCTGTGCCAAGCCTGTGCAGCAGAGATGACATTGTTCTGCTAAACAAGGGGTGGGACGCCATTCATGAATGTCAGTGCAAGCTCCTCAGCCAAGGCACTACACTCTACAAGCTAGACTGTGTTATCAGGGAATTGCCATTTTGGATTGGCTGGTTTCTTCTTCTGGCTAGACACCTTGGTTTTAACTAGCTTTAACAGAGCTCACTGTGCAGGCATTAGCTGGTGTCAATATTTATCTCTATGCCCTGAAATGCCTCAGCAGCTGATGGCTGCACATTAGGCTGCTGTTAAAGGCAGCAAGGTGTGCCCGGCTGGGATTTGTTTCCACCCCACCTTCCTGTTTGGCACTTACCAAATGTGTGGTATTTTTCTATGATGGCAGCAGAGGGGAAAGAAGGGTATATTTTAAAGGTGTATCAGCCTATATTTACTTACTATATTTTGCTACATAAATCTCTGTTGGTGTTCGCTCACCAAATGGTACTTGCCCCAAACTTGGATCTTGGCACCTAGGGAATCCTACTTTTAAAAAATCTATATTTCCTTGTGACCAAGTGGGAGAGGCCTCTACAAAAGGCTCTGCTTCACTTTCTTCCTGGCTTTTCAAATTATCAATTAAAAAAAAAGTGCAGCCCTGAGTTTACACATGACAAAACTGCAAAGCAGCCAATCAGTCACGTGGGCAGTTTGCACAAGCCATTTTGTTTCATTTCTTTTATTCATAAAATGTATAAACTACCGTTCAACCTGCACCAATACCAGGGTAGGTACAATACTCTTTTTTAATCCAGTAAGAGAAAACAAAAACACTCCAGTTCTTAAAACACCTGCAAATGGTTTTCACTCTTGGTGAGTTTCCAGGTCTCATTGAATCATTACTTGTGCCAGAGGCAGCTTGTGTGACATTTCCCCCAAAGCCTGCAGACTCTGAATGTATCTGAGATCAATTATCCCCATCAAAGCTAATGACAGGTCTTACCTCTAGGCACAAAAATGACCTGTTGCCTGATCCTATGCATGTTTGCTCAGATGTCCGACTCACTGTGTATATGTAGACAAGTATATGCAAGGTTGAAATTTTGCTTGTTTATATTTGCAATGGCCCATATAGAGAACTGGATTTTGCCTTTGGGCCTAGTCAGTCTGTATGCACATTATTAGAGACATGAATGGTTTTTTTTACGCTACAGCCATGCCTAGATTGTTTCAGGTCCCTAGCTCTAGCTAAACACATCTCCCTCCCCCCAGTATAATATGTTGGGAAAAGCTTTATTTATGAAATGCCTGCAGGTCAGGCTTCTCTTAAGGAGCCCAGGAAAGCAATGAAAATGAGAGTCTTGCAACTCTTACTCCAGCATATGGAGTCAGCGATGGGTGAGTCTGCAAATTTATCATTTCCTCCCCTTAAGATTCCACATCAGTTTGTGATTTTTTTAAAACAAGTGCTTGTGAAAGTTCACTGACATTTTAAAGTGAAATTATGCAATTTTGCCTAAAATACCCATTTTTACAAATAAAATTTCCCTTCTATAAGGGCAAATTATGCCACAGAATGCCAAGTTTTGCATGCCAAGAACTCTGATAAGACAATTGAAGTCCAAGATTTGTCACCAGTATTGTTCTCTCAATTTTCTGCTAATAAATATTATCAATTTCTTTTCCTTTAGATAAACACAACTCAAGTTCTCTCCAGGTCTGATAGTTTTCTACATGGTCAGTAATCATCTCATATGAAGAGATAATAGCTCCAGTGTTCTTCCAGTCTTTTGAATCTGTTTCTTGTAGAGTTGATGCACCATTTTCTTTTCCTGAACAACGTGTAGCAATAAAACAAAACAAAACAAAGCAACCACACATATTTTGAGGCTGAATATATCGACACTTCTTCACCATTTGTTGATCTGCCTTTGTAGTGCAGGAGATGCCAAACAATGCAAAGGAGATTCCCATGGCAGAGACCACCAAGCTGGGAAAGGTCATTAGAACAAAAATGAAATGTCTTTAATTATGACCCTAGTGGCCCCTTCCAACTCTACAGTTCTATGATTTCCAGAAAGTGCAGATAGTGGCACTTGTCACTTCTCAACAGGAATGCTATTCCACAGAACAGGAGCAGCCACACTGAAAGCCCTGCTCTGAGTTACTGTGGGTGGACCTTTTATGAGCAAAGCATATCCTCTGCCACTGAGCTACAGAAACATAAAGAGATCACCAAGGATAGCACACAATATCAATCTCACACCAGTTACATTGAAGCTCCACCACTGCCAGGAAGTATTAGCTTTTCACAAGAAAGACGGGGATAATTTATTAGACCATAAAGGCAGCAAACAAGCTCTTCTCAACTGTAAATTATTTACCAATAAAGATATTAAGTTATTACAGGCCTTTAAATAATTTAATCAAGTGTCAGTAAATAATTTAAAAAAACTGAGAGTGGAGCAGAAATGGTTACTGAGGCTGCCACAAGGAAGGAGCAGTTTGAGAAACCGCAGAGACTGGGGCCCATTCCTAAGGACATAAGAAGAGCCTGGTTTCTGGGTCAGGCCAAGGCCAAGGCCCATCTAGTCCAGCATTCAGTTCTCACAATGGCCAGCCAGATGCCCTCTTGGGAAGCCGGCAAGCAGGAGCTGAGCACACCAGCAACTCTTCTCACTTGCAGCCCCCAACAACTTGGAATGGGGTACTGTTAAAAGAACAGGCAAGCAGAGGTGCCAACTTGGGCCCCAGGCTGTGGGTGCCCAATGGTGCATGTGACATGACATGGTGACATCACATTGCGACATGACATGACATCACGTTGCGTGCACATGCTGCTTGATATCCACACACCACCACTGCTTTCCAGTGCCACTGCAGCGACTGGGCTGGGGCTTCCACCTCTGCCGTGGGGCCTCTGTTGTAGGAGAGTTGGAGGTAAGGCAGTGGGTGGTAGCAGTGGAGGCCGGGCACCCACAGTGAAAAATTTGTGGATGTCAAAGCACCCAGGGCCCCCTGGAGTTGCTGCCTGTGCGGGTGGGGGACCCCTGGTTCCTCTGATCATGCACAGTTGTTTGTCTGTTGGCTGCAGCTCGGTGGTAGAGCATCTGTTTTGCACACAGAAGGCCCATGGTTCAACCCCTCTCATCTCTGGGTAGGGGCTGGAGTGGGAAAATCCTTGCCTGAAAACTTGGGGAGCAGCTGCCAGTCAGTGTAAACAGTACAGAGCTAGATGATGGTGCAGTGGTCTGACTTGGTAGAAGTCAGCTGGGCTTGTACAGTGTGTGTGATTTTAACCAGTGCCTGACAGACAGAAGTGCCTAGAAATGCTGTGATGATGGGGAAGCTGCACATTGTGATATTCTGCCAGCCTTGAAAACTTAGCAATGAAAAGCATAGCTAGAAAGGGAAGAGTAACCTTTTATCTTCTTGTCCACAGTGTTGGCAGATTTAAAAAGTGGGCCCTGCAGCTGTGCTTTTAATGGCCATGTGACATACAGCTTCAGCTGCCGACCTCTATCCACCCAGCTGTTCTTAAAGGGAAAGGAACAGCGTGGGGTGTGACTTCTGGTCAGTTGGCAACCGCACCTACAGAGGGCAGGCGCGCCCCTAGGAGACGCTGTCCTCTGCACATCAACAGGTGGCCCCTTTCTCTCCTGTCACTTCACCTGTTGCACCTTTATGCGGTACAATAGCGGGACCACAACGGTACAATGACTGCCTTCCTTAAGGAGGGGGGTTCTCTGGGGCCCTGAAGGCCGCTTTCTCGCTCTGTCTTTGGAGAGAGGCGGCACCGTTCGCAGGCTTCTTGGGGCAGGCGCTTTGGTGGCCCAGGCTCCTTTAAGAGCAGCAGCAGCAGCACTAAGACGTCGGGGTCTTTCGTTTTCCTCTCCCCTCCCTCCCTGTCACCCACAGAGGCGTGCAGCGGCAGCGGATCCGATTAGCGGGGAGGCCAGGCGGCGGCGGGATGGCGGACGGTAGGCGGTGCTGGCGGCTGGCGGAGTTGCGGTGGCTGCTCCTGCTACGCCGGCTCCTTCTCTTGGGAAGCGGCGCTGGGGTGTAACAGTAGCCTTGACCAACAGCCTAGCCTTGCAGCGGCCGGCGGAGGCGCTGCTCCTGCCGCCGCGAAGCCGCACCGCGCCTCTGGAGATGCCCCTGCAGCGGAGGCGCCCTCGACGCCGCCAGGGTTGATTGAGCGAGCGAGCGCGCGCCGGGACCGGCGGCGGCGGCGGCGGCGGCCACGGCCACTAACTGGAAGGAGGCTGGCAGCCTGAGCCCGGGCGTCGCCGCACAGCAATGGCATGCAGACCCGCGCGAAGGGGAGCGGGGATCCAGACGAGGAGGAATAGCAGCAGCAGCAGCAGCAGCAGCTCCGGGCGGCGCTCGCTCGCGGCCGGACACCGCGCCGGCCAGGTAGGCTGCCCCTAGCGAAACGCGCGCCTCTCACAGTCTGCGCCTCCGAAAGGCTTGCCCCTTGCTATCCCTGCTGCTTTTAGTCTGCCTCTCCGGACGCGGGGAAGGGGGAGCGAGAGGGCAAATTTCTCTCGGGACAGCCCAGCCAGGACGTGGCTTATGTTTTATATCTCGTGGGCTCTTTTCACCCCAGAGGCAGTCACGCTTTGGGGGAGGCAGGGACCCGCTGCGAAGAGATTTATTTATTTTTTGCCACGATCCCGTGCACGCTTTTTACTTGGCGAGGAAGCGTGCGCGGGATTTGCGCGCTGGATGAAAGGCGGCGATTCCCCTCCCTTCCCGTGCTAGGAATGCGTTAGGATAGAGGAGCCGACGGGACATCAGACTATAAAACCCGCGTAGGATAGCGCGGCGAACCAGGTTGGGTTTTCGGTGGTAATGTGCCTTTGTAACGCTCTCCTCGCCTTGTGAAGTTATGCTTCATTGCCTCCGGAGGGTATCGCTCAGAGGCTGTCGTCCTTCCAGCCCCCTTTACAAACGAGTCTGTAGCTCTGCACATTATCCTGGGTAGCATTCTTCCCTCCGGGAAAATTGGACAAGGTCACGTCACCTGTGGGTGCTGGGGTGGGCCGTGGGGTGCGCGGCGCGAGGGGCGGCCACAGGAGCTGTTCCTTGCAGCGCATCGCCTGCTGACCCTGTGGAGTACGATCCACCCGGAGAAGCCCACCTGCGCTAGACCCGTCGCAGTGAACGGGGGCTGATGCGCAAGAGTGCGGGGGCGTGCGGAGGAGAGCGCTGGGGATTCCGCAGGAGGGTTAAGCGCCCACCGTCTCTGCAGACCTGTGGCTCTTCTCCTGTTGTTGACATCCAAAGGAATCCCACCGCCCAGACCTACCAAAGAGTTACCGCGTCAGCTGATTCCTCGGAAAGTAAATCCTTTCCTCTCCAAGAAGCCTTGCCTATGTTTCCCAGGCATCCAGGCACCCCATGAAAAGAGAGGGAGCAGGGAGAGTGCTTGACAACCTCCTGGTGCCGCACCGTAGGACTAATGTAACCTAACTCACAGGGTTGTTGCTAGGATTAAATGGGGAGCGAGGAGGACAGCATATACAGGAGTGGGGCAGTAGACCCGGGAGTTAGCTGGATTGTCAATGAAATCTTGTGTCTTTGCCTCGGCCGCCTGGCGGAGCTAAGATCGCTTTGTGGTTTTGAGTATTTGCAACTTTTTAAACGCTTAAGGCCCTACCTTTCTCCAGCAAGCGTGTACCTGAGTGCTGCCTGTGTTCGTGTGTATGTGTTCAAGGCAAAAGCACTGCAGGCCAAAACTGCTATTTAATTAAAGGCTTTTTCTTTTAAACCCACTTTTCGACCTCCCCCCGGGACCTGCAAACGAGCCTTGAGCGCAACAACAGTAAAAACATCTTTGACGCCGAAGCAATAACATAGAAAAATTCATCCCAGCAGCCCTCGGCGAGCCTCTGACCCTTGGCCAGCCTCGAGGGGCGTTTTCACAGAGACGGATGGCCTTTCGCCGATGTTGGCGGTGCTGAGACAGAGTGCAATGTTTGGAAAGGCTTCCGTGGGGCAGGTGCCTAGGTGCTCAGCAGCATGCACACAAAAAGGTCACAAAGGTCTGGAAACGATGCCTTATGAGGAACGGCTAAGGGAGCTGGGCATGTTTAGCCTGGAGAAGAGGGGGTTAAGGGGTGATATGATAGCCATGTTCAAATATATAAAAGGATGTCATATAGAGGAGGGAGAAAGGTTGTTTTCTACTGCTCCAGAGAAGCGGACACGGAGCAATGGATCCAAACTACAAGAAAGAAGATTCCACCTAAACATTAGGAAGAACTTCCTGACAGTAAGAGCTGTTCGACAGTGGAATTTGCTGCCAAGGAGTGTGGTGGAGTCTCCTTCTTTGGAGGTCTTTAAGCAGAGGCTTGACAACCATATGTGAGGAGTGCTCTGATGGTGTTTCCTGCTTGGCAGGGGGTTGGACTCGATGGCCCTTGTGGTCTATTCCAACTCTATGATTCTATGAAAAGAAGCTGCTTTATGGAGTCAGGCTGATCGGTTTGTTAATCCAGGACAGGCAACAGCTCTGCAAGGTTTTAGGCAGAGGGGGGCGGGGTTTCCCCCCAGCTGCCCAATATCCTCCCCCGGGCAATGCTGCCCGCGAGTGGCAGGGGGAGAGTTGCATCGAGGACTTTATGCATCCACAGAAGTTGCTCTGCTACAGAGCAACAATCTCTTCCGACCCCTGTTCTCTTCCCTCCCCCACAAAACCTGCCTTTTCTCTTGGAAGCGCCTTCCTTGTGCTGTGAGCACCTAAGAACAACAGCCTGGGAATCAGTCAGGGCACATTCTGCCGTGCTGCCATGCACCTATGGAGCGTAGCAGCATTCCTGGTGCTTCCTCGGAGGTGCCAAATGCGGAGCTTAACCCAGAGGGCCGTGCGCAGTTTGGCACCAGTGAAGAACACCAAGAGCGCCTAGAAGTAGATTAGGACTAGCTGTTCTCCCCGGTTGACTCGCAGGTATGGAGCAGCAGCAGCAGCAGCAGCAGCAGCAGGGGACCACGGAACAGCAACATCTCTGATTTTCCAATAGAACGTTGACCCTGTGTTGATCTCGGTTACTAAGCGATGCAAGCGACTGATTTTCTTTAATTGGGTTGGGAGTTAGAAGTGGTGTCGGAATGTGCGAGCCTCTGCTGGCACGTTACTACTTGAATCGGTACTGGAACGGATTCAATTTCTGTGTGGCTGGTGCTTTTTCCCTTCTCTCGGAGGGGAGCTGAACGTTTAGAATAGCTGAACGTTTAGAATCCAGTTTAGTTGTTGCTGAGTGACCACAGGCGTAGAGTGATTTTTCTAACTGCTGGGAGGGACGCCACAATGGAACTCTTCCTCCCAGGCAGAAATGGAGAGAGCTTTTTGTCATTTGCCACCCTTTATCTCCCTCTCTCTCTGTATGTGTATGTCTCTTCAAGGGATAAGTGCCAGCTGCAGAATTGTTTTCAGTGAAGGGCATATGTTGAGGGGTGGAATAAGCATGTTTTCTCAAATTGTACTGAAACAGGGTGGGTGCTTCAGGCAGGCAGTAGCTGACACACTGGTGATGTGGAAGAAATAATTATAACAGGGATGTGTAAAGGGTGTGAGTATACATGTGCTTGGCTTCTGATGGCTGCGCACACTCCATGCATTTAAAGCAACCCCCCCCAATCCTGAGAATTGTAGTTTAGCTCTCACAGCGCTGCAACTCCCAGCACCTTTAACAAACTGCACTTCCCAGGATTCTTTGTAAGGTGAAGAAATGTGCTTTAAATGTTTGGTGTGTACACAGAACAAGACACACAATTTCTCATCTTTCAGTGGCAAAGCTTACTATCTGGGAGAGAGCATAAGAATCTGCCTTAGCATGCAGCTCTCAGACAACCCATTTGTTGAACATTCATCCCAATACATTCGCGGGGAGATTAGTATAGGGAAAATTATTCTGTTCTGTGTGACAGCAATGGAGGCTGGTCTATTAGGACAAAGGGGGACTGCCCTCAGCCAGTCCCCACCTGCTCGCCTTCTTTCTTAGAACTACAGTAGTCCAGTGGGTGTCTCCATTTGTTCTAGTGCCACCTACTGATGCTTCTGTTTTATAAACTGGGTTGGAGGGATTATTCAGATAATGTTGACAAAGGGCTCTGAATGCTGGAGGAAGAGCACTGGGAATATCCCTTATATCAGGGATAGGAAACCTGTGGTCCTCTAGATGTTGGTCTCCAACCTGCCTTAGCCTTAGCTAGTGAAAGGGCGATGGGAGTTGTAGTGCAACAACTGGAGGACTGCGGGGTCCCCAAACCCTGCTATAATAATAATAATAATAATTTATGAGTTTCCCCAGCCACTCTGGGCGGCTATATATAATCATTGCCCATCAGGAACTTCATCAACAAGCAGAAAGGATCCACTGCTTTTGCAACCCCTCTTCTTTCTTCCAAGAAGAGTTTCTTCCAGCTCTCTTGTTTGGACACAGCTCTGGGACATGGTAAATGAAAGTATACCGTCTCTGAATGTGAAAGCTCTGTTTAGTTATCATGGCTAATTGATATGCCTATCTAAAGAAATCAGCCTAAGCTTCTACCCATCACTATACTTTGTTTCAGTGAGTTCCACAAGTTAAGGACATGCACTGAGAATGAATGTTTCCTCACTCACTGTTCTCAACCTACTGCCAATCAGCTTGATGTCCTGCTTTCCCAAATTGATGTGTCTCTATTAGGACTACGGAAGAAATCTGATTCAGCCTGCATTTGAAGCTGAATCTTACGAAATGATCACTTAACCAATACATAGCCATCCTTTGAAATCCACAGTTATCTAAATTCTGGAAACAGTTCTCTGTCTAAAAATTTACAAAAATGAATAGATTAGGGAAAGTGTGCATAAAATGCTGATATTGGTGAATTCATTATACTGGGGGAGATGGCTGGCAACAATGTCTATATTAGTCAAACTGCATACAAAAATGGGTTTTATTAGGAGAAATTCACACTCCAATTCATTAGTTTTTTAAAATGCAGATTGCTGCAGAAATGTGTGGAACTGAATTTAAGATTGGAAAAATGAGAAACTGAGAGAACTAAAACCAACAGATTATTCTGTCCCGAGACAGAACTGTGAGAAGCTGGAGCTGTAATATCCCTCTCTCATGTAACCCTGGGGCTGAAGGTGTGTGTTGTTGTCCAAAATGCCTGGAGGGCACCAGCTTAAGGAAGCCTGGCTTGTTCTAAAACAAGGAAAAAGGAAAGGAAGAAAATGAGGATGGAGAGAGGGAGGGGGCATGGTCCCTTGCAAATGACGAGGCAAAGGGAATGTTGCTGAACCTCAACACCTGAGATGTGTGTTTTCATGGCCCACACTATTCCTGTGAATGTAATTAGTTTTTAATACTGAGTTTTAAATTGCTGCAGCCCACCTAGGGACCTGCTGGTGGAGGATGTTG